CTGAGACTGCCGCTCCCCATCCCAGGTACAAGGCAAGGGAGCCGTCGCTGTGCTGTGGCAGCAGACTGGCTCTGCGCCCTGCTGGGGCTGGGTCGGATTGTTATGGCCCCCAGGAGACCTCTGCTAGGGACTCGGGCTGGTTTGGTGACCCGCCGAGCGCCTCCTGCAGGAAAGGGGCTGCTGCCCCTCCAGCCGTGCAGGTGAAGTGAGCCCAGGTAAGTGGAGGATGGGGAGAGGCCACAGCTGTGGGTGGGTGGGTGGGTAGATGGGGCAGAGATGCGACCAGCCCCAGAGGGATGGGTGGTCACTGCTTGAGCAGGTGGGGCAGGGGGTAACCTCATGACTTCAGGAGTGAGCGAGCGATTTGCTGCTGTTACAGTGCAGGTCTCCCCTCCTCTCTGCCCTGAGGGCTCAACTCCTGCCTGGGCTAGCAGGAGCCTCCCGCATCCAGGCTGGTGAGGCAGAGGAGACGTGATGTGTCCCATGTCTGGCTCTGGTGCTTTTCCAAACCCCACAGAGTCTTTGGGGGGGGTGGGAGGTGCTGGAAGGGGGTGGACTGACTCCCATCTCTGGAGGGAAGCGAACACCCCCCTGGTGCTGAGCAGTTCCCCAGCAGAAGGGGAAGCCGCAGTAGCTGCGATTTCCCTCTGCCCCTCCAGGTACAGGCTAAGGTGGCGTTTTGTGCAAGGCCCAGTGGGCACCCAGCCCATGGACGCGGGCACCGTGGGGTCAGGGAGAACGTCCCGTCTGGGCGTGCCATGCCAGTGTGGGCGTTGGCCTGTCTCAGTAAGTGGCTGGTCCCTGCCGGGGTGGTGGGCGTGTGGATCTCCCATCCCTGGATGGCCTGGAGAATGGGTCACTGTGCACGGTACGGCCTGGCCCTACGCAATCTGGGAGAGCTGCTTCAGCTTGGGGGGCTGACTGGACAGCTTGGGAGATTTCTCCCCTTTTCCTGCCCCCGGTGCTTTAGCTGTGGGTGAGGGAGGCAGGGAGCTGACCCTCCGCCCAACCCCTCCCAAGAGTTGGTGCCTCCCTGTCCGCCATCTTGTGGCAGTCTCTGTTTCTGAGGCTGGTGCCCAGGGCTCCATCAGGCTGAGCAGCCGTCACGTCGCCTCCCACCCCTGCTCGCAGCCTCCCTTCCATCGGGAGAGGTCCCTGATGCTGAGGTTCCTCGTGGGAAGCCCGAGCTGCCGCAGGGTGTGGCCAGGCGTCCATCTTCCCCTCTCCCCATGGCGGTCGGGGCTGGGCAGGGCGAGGCGCGTCTCCCATCCCTTGCTTTGTGGTGCGTGAAGGACAAGTGCCTCCTGCTCCGTGCGCCTGGCATCTCTCATGTCTCGGCTCGGTGAGCCTGGCTAGCGCGCTCCGCATGTGGGGGTTATAACGGGCGGTTAGCTGCCGGGGGGGCTCTCCTTGCACCCCTTACCCAAGCCAGAGCACAGAGGGGACAGCTGTGCTCTACTTTTAGCCTCTAGGGGGCAGTGGAGACTGGACTGCACCTGGCCCCTCCAAGTCAGAATGAGACCTGTTAGCCAGGCAAGGGATGTGCCGCATCCCCTGCACCTGCTCTGCGTGATGAGAGGCCTCCCTGCCTGCGTAGGGGTGGCCCTGTCCTCCGGGGAGACCAAGCTGCTTTCTGCCTGGGAGAACGGGCAGGAAGGGACATGCGTAATCTGCTTGACTCTGCTTCCCCAACCTTTGTGGTCCTGATAGACTTTCCTGTAAGCCTCCATCCCACTCCCAGTCCCTTGGTTCAGAGCTGCGGGGGAGCAGTGAGCGGTGTCTTATCGGGGCAGAGATGCAGGGGCCACAAACACGAGAGAGTTCTCTTGAAACTGCCTGAGTTCACCGGCCTCCGTCTGCCTTCACCCTACGGGCTCCGGGAAAGGATGGCCGCGGTCTGCGCAGGCCCTGCAGCGACGCGTGGCTCTTGGGAGCAGTGCAAAAGGCCCTTGAGGGGTGTTGTATTAATTTAGATGGAATAAAGGGGATATCCTAACCCACTGAACAGTGTTAAACAAGGTTCGCTGTGCAGAGCCCTCAGCCGGCTTAGCACCATGGCAAACGCACCATGTACAAACCATTGTATTTAGTAAAGGTCAAGAAAAGAAGGAAAGCCAGCTAAAGCATTTGAAATGTAAAGTATGGAGTCAGCCTTCGTTTTAACCGCCTCCCTTGTTCCCTTGCCCTTGAGCTGCAGAGCGTTTTAGACGGAAACCCTCCTCGTTAGACAGTTTCTTTGATGGTGTCTCAGAGGGTGATAACCTTCCTTTTGGAGAACAGAGAAGTCAGTCGAGATGCTGCTGTTAAAGTCCGATCCTGTTTCATCCCAGTGGGTGTTTGGGATTCAGCTGTAGCCAGCAGAGGTGGTATGCCCTCTGGGGGGGGGGGGGTCCTCTCCCTGGCCTGGTCTGGTCAGGATGTCCCTCAGGGTTAGGAAAGAAGGAATCGGGGTATGTGGCTGACACTGGAACTCGGCCTTGTCATTGGTGCCTCCTGTAATGAGAGACCAATACAGAGAATCCAGCCCGAGGGGAAGCCTTGAGGGACTCCGTTACCTTCCAGCCGGCCGGGGTAGGTCTAGCCTGCAATTAGACGCCTGCGGCTGGCCCATGCCAGCTGATTCAAGCTAAGGGGCAGTTGAGTTGCTGTGTGGAGGCTCAACCCTTCCACCTTGCAGGGTCCTAGAGCCCAGACTCTGGACCAAACCCAAATGGCTAAACAGCCCCTTAGCCCAAGCCCAAGCCAGCTGGCCACGGGTTTTTAACGGCAGCGTGGACGTACCATGCGAGGCCCAAGTGAAGGACGTGGCGAGCAGAGGCTGCTCAGTCTGGTGGACGCAGCACTGCGCAGGGACTCCTGGGCTCTATTCGCAGCTCTGCCCCAGGCACGGGCCAGCGGCTTCACTTCTGAGCCTCGGTTTCCTCCATCGACAAAAAGCGGGCTAGTGTTTGGGCAGCGCTGTATAAATGAAGGCCGCTTGGTAACAGGTTTTAACAAGGCTTCTCCCCCAGGGGCTGGAGGGGGCCAGCCTTGGTTTTAAGCCTCCTTTTGCAGTGGCATTTAGTGAGGGGGCGCTAAGGCAAGCCACCTGCCTGCTGCCAGCTTCCCCTTTACCTCCCGTGGCTGGCGCCAGCTTCCCCACTGCCTTGCTAGGAGCCTGGTTAGACGCAGGAATCAGACGACCTCTTCCCCTGGGCATTGATACTCGTCTGCCAGTGCAAAGCACCCGGAAGCCTTTTACAGAGCAGTAGGCAAGGGGGCTGTAGGGTCTGCGGATCACAACTGCCGCCTGCCTGTGGAACAGAAGGAATCCACTTCCACTCCGACCGGCTAGTTCCTGACTATGGCGGTTGGCTGTTCCAGGATGAACAATGCTGCGGGAGAGCAGCGTTGCTTGAAATGCTGCTGCTTTATTCAGCCAGCCCGGCATGGTGTCCCTGGGCGGGAGGGGGAAGTGTGTGTGTGTGTGTGTGTGTGTGTGTGAACCTGGAAAGTATATGGCACCCCCCACACACACACACACGTGGATTGGCTGCAAAGCATCACTCCAGGCGTTAATTCCGTGTGTGGGTGGGAATCCAGGGTTGGTGAAAGGAGCTGGCTGACAGCTCTGCAGAGTGAAGTCCCTGCCCGCAGAGAAGAGGATAACGCGTCCCCGGTGCTTGGATCCCCCGTCGGGGTGAGAGGGGCGTGCGTTCTGTAGGGCCCATCCAGTCCTTGCCGTCCGCCTGCCGTGGGGGCGTGTTCTGTGCATACTTGTCCCCTAGGGACTGGGCACCGTGATACTCGGCATTCTGAGCCCTGTGGCTGATGGGTGCTTTACGAAGCTCGGTCAGTACCTGCTGACAAAGGGAAACTGAGGCATAAAGTGACTCATTCAAGGACACCCAGCAGACTAATAGCGGCTGTGGGTAGAGAGCTTTCCCGTCACCCTCTCCCCCGGTTCTTGTCACGCACACAGCAAGCCTGATCCCAATTTCCTATTCTTCCATTTCCTGTTTGACCCCAGTTTATATAGTAATATTCTCAGCTAGACCTTAACCCCATCATTTTACTGAAATTTAACTAACTAATCCCAACATATGGTAACACAATTCTCTAACCAGTTATATCCCACTCCCCTAATTAACTTACACCTAGCAAACTTAATTATACAGCAGACAGAAACAATTAGAGAACCAGACAGATTAACAATAGAAAAGTGGGGGCCATAGAGATAAAACAATACAGAAATGAGGGTTTCACAACCATTGATGAGTGATTTCTTGCAGGCAGGATGCTACCGAACTACGTTTTCTTTAACCATCTTAAGATCTGTTTCTTTATCTGGTGGGGATGGGCACTATCAGGACAGGATCGTCTTCCTAACAGCCCAGTAGCACCTTATTTCCATGTGACTGGTTTGGGATGGGAGCATGTGACCATTCGCTTCCCAGCGTATGGCTGCCCCTGCCGCTTAGCCGAAGGCCTTAGCCTAAGAACAAGGCCTCAGACTCTCCTAGTGAGCGAAGGCCCAGACACAGGCAGACTGTGATTTTGATTCTTTGTTTGTATACCCCTGTAACTAGCTAAGGGATAAAAATACACCTAAGTTCTTAAAGTACAGGCCTTTACTGACCTGCCTGTAATAGGGTGACCAGATGTCCCGATTTTATAGGGACAGTCCCGATTTTGGGGTCTTTTTCTTATATAGGATCCTGTTACCCCCACCCCCTGTCCCCATTTTTCACACTTGCTGTCTGGTCACCCTAGCCTGTAATCTATATTCTAACACTTAGCTAGGCCCCAAGCACCCCTCGGACGGTGGTAACTTTCAGCCTTGGCTGGGCTGACCGGGATTTGATCTTGTGCCTATGGGGGGAGGGGTCCTTATCCTATTGCCGATCCCCTGAGCCCTCTGGAGGCCCCCAGTGCCCTCTCCTCATTTAGGGACACTGCATGCGTGGGTTGAAGGCCCGAGCAGGCGGCTGGCTCTGAATCTCCACGTCCTGCCTCCGCAGATGATCTCGATGGTGATGGTGGCCGTGGGCATCTACGCCAGGCTGATGAAGCACGCAGGTGAGCGACTGGCGCCTTCCCCTTGCCCCAGGTCTGTGCTGCGGCTCTGGGATCTCTCCTTCCGGTGGGAGGTGGGGGAGGACCCCGGAGACTGGCTGCCCTGGAAGCAGACGGGTTTGAGGAGGAGAGCGGAGCCTTTCCCTGGGTCTGAGACTGGAACGCAGCTAAGAGGGGGTGAGGTCTCCGTGTGGAGAGCGCGGCCCGCTGTGTGTGGCAGACATTGTCTGGGGTGAGAGGGGAGAAGCTGCCGCTCTTGTCCAGTGAAACAGGGCTTGGACGCGTCCCCACCTCCACCCCCTGCTTGTCCCAGGCCTGCTCAGATCTGGGACCATTGTCCATCGCCAGATAAACCTCTGGTCTCGGCCCGTGTGGAGTTACGGCAGCCTGATCTGGGCTTGTTCCTTCTCGCCCCGGGGCCAGAAGCACTGGAGAGGCCTGGGGAAAGGCGTCGCTAGTGGCTGGCTGGCTCTGGCGGGGCCTGCTGCAGCAGGGATAATGGGAGAGGCTGGGGCCCCAAAGGAGCCTTCCCTCAGCCCCACCCCATAGAGCCGTCTCCTTTGGATTCCTTTAGCGGGCAGGGTGGTGCAGCTGGACTAACAGCGTCCTCTCTCCCCCACCCCCTCTGCTCCCGCCTGGCAGAGGCGGCCATGGCCTGCCTCGCGGTGGATCCCGCCATCCTGCTCATCGTGGTCGGCATCCTGATGTTCCTGATCACCTTCTGCGGCTGCATCGGCTCCCTGCGTGAGAACATCTGCCTGCTGCAGACGGTGAGGGGACGGGAGGCTGCGGGAGCCCAGCCTGGGCCGGGGGGGAGAAGGGGACAGTCGTATGGCGGTTATAGCCAGGACAGGGGATGGGAAGCCTCATGGGGACCCCGCTGTCTACCTGGGCCTGCAGAAACCGCCAGGAGTGGGCTGGGGGTTTCCCCCCTCAATGACTGGCAACTCGGGCAGCCGTCAGGACTGATGGGACCCAGGGTCTCTCTGCTCTGTCTCCCATTTCCTTCCCCCACCCATTGGTGTGAAATCTCAGCTGGTGCCCAGCCATGCTGATGACAGGAAAGCTGGTGGCTCCCTCTAGTGGCCAGAGCTGGGGAACTCCCGCACCCCAGGAGGTACTTAGCCATGCGCCTCCCAGGGAAACTGACCCTTTCCAAAGTGCCTTTAATGGCATTGAGCCGGGTGTCTCGGCTAAAGAGACGGAGGGTTTCTCATTCCTTCACACATCCAGTCAGTTGTTGGTACGAGCTGCTTGCATAGCTGGGGGAGAACAGACGCTGGAGTCTGTACAGATCTCCTGTAGTTACATACAGCTCTCAATGGTGGGTCTGTTTGCTAGCACAGACATGGACAACGCTTTAGAGCAGTGTGGCAAATCCATAGGAGGTGGGTTCTGTCTGATTCAGCCTTGAACCAGCGACCTGGCACGGTCCACTCCGAGAGGTGCCGTCTTTCAGAAGAGATGTAAAACCCAGGCTCTGAGCACTTTGGGATGATCCCAGAGCATATTTTGCAAGAATGAGGTCTTAACTCCACTCTGCCTCTCTGACGTCCCCTGCAGTTTCAAAAAGTGACTGTTTCTCTCTTCCTGTCCCAATCTTCTGTGCATTGTTAAGCGGCTGCTCTGTTCCACCCCAGAGGTGGCTGCATTTCAGTGCTGGGTGAAGTGGTCAGTAGATAGGTTTCGGTAAAAAAGGCACTACAGGACTATAATGTGACGGGCCTGGAGTCCTGCTGCCCTGTGACCTTGCAGCTTCAAGCGTCCCTGCTTGGGTCATGGTGGCGCAACTCTGGCTCCGTAAAAGATGGTGCATTGTTGCCTCTTCGGTGGCAATTTGCTGATGGCTGTTTTCTCTCTCCTGCAGTTCTCAATCTGCCTGACCATAGTCTTCCTGCTGCAGCTGGCAGCTGGAGTGCTGGGCTTTGTCTTCTCTGATAAGGTAAATACACCAGAGAGCTGGGGTGAGCATTGTTCTTTTGAGGTGGTGGGTTGGGGGGGGGAGGAGAAGGATGCCCCATCATAACTGGAGGACCAGTCCTGGATTGGCAGGGAGCTGCCCGAGAAGACAGAATAGATTTCTTCCCTCACTAAGCTGCGATTCTCTGGGGAAAGGTGGTTCTACGTGGGGACAGAGGGCCAAAGAGGCCGAACCGCAAATGGGAGGCGAGGTGTCTGGGGGTGAACAGAGACTGTTCTCTCTTTTTAAAATCTTATTTAAATGAAAAAGTTTGTTTTGATCCAAGGCTTCCCCAGCAGACTTGGTGACCCAAACGCATCAGCCTCTGCTGGGGCGTGGGCACCAGAGTGCAGCTGGCTGGGTGGGTCTGCCCCAGGGTTTGGTCCCTGACCTCGTTGTCTTTCAGTGGCCAGTGTTTTGGTTTCCAGTATGTCCCCCGCCTCACCCCAAACAAGTGGAGGGGGCAGGGATGGATGGGCTGGGGTGAGACCACTGGCCTGCGATGCAGGGAACCTGGGTTCAGGTCCCTGGCTCCACATGTGATCTAGAAACTGGGGGTGACGCCCGCCCGTCAGGCAGCTGTGAGGTTAAATTGTAGGGGAGGAGGCGCTCGGACGCTGCAGTGGCGAGGGGCGTGCAAGCACCTAGGTAGGAGGGAAATCTCCCTGGCGACCTCTCGGCGTTCCTCCCCCAGGCACGCGGGAAGGTGAGCGAGATCATCAACAACGCCGTCGTGCATTACCGGGACGACCTGGACCTGCAGAACCTCATCGACTATGGGCAGAAGGAGGTGGGTCCCGTTAAAGAGCCAGCACGCGTAGCCCTCGGCCGGGTCTCCTGCCTCCTATGGGGTGACTGGCCCTGGGTGAGCTCTCTGGCCTCCTCCGTGATGGGGATGGCTGGGTCTCCCCGCCCCGTAGCAGGGACGGCTGGGCCTCGGCCAGGCCTGGGGTACAGTCCGGGCCCTCCAAACTCTCTCGCGCGCTGTTCCCCTCTCTTTAAAACATCCCTGAAATTATCTCTCCTGCCTTGACCTGAGTTCCCTTTCAAAGCACGTAACACGGTCGGACTCTCCTCGCCGAGGCTGCAGGGCCAGGATCTGCTCCCCTTCGTCCCTTCTTGGAGCAGTGGGCGTGGCTGTCCACGGTTCTCTGGTTCCCTTTCGTTGTCCATCAGACCCCATTCCACTAGTCCCGCATCCATCTGCTTCTTTGTGGGCCCCCATCTTCCGGCGGGAGGGCGGTGCCATCGCAGACCACACCCCTCCCAGTTTGAGTCCAATCGTGCCAGTCACAAGTACCCGCCGAACTCTCTCGTGTACGCACACGTGCTTCTTTGTTCTCCTGCCGCGGGCTTGGTCCCAGGACGGTCGTGCAGCTGGCGTTGCACATCTGGAGTCTAAATATACTCCCACCCCTCTGCTCAGAGACCCTTTGTCCCCCAGAGCCCTGTTCTCCCATTTCCATTGCTGTCTATAGGCCATGAGAAATGTTGGATTGGAGATGGAGGCTGGAGGGAATGTGGCTAGCGCTAGAGAAATACAATCATGTTTCCTTTAGAGTTCCCTGTCTTTTGCTTTCACCCATAGTCTCACCCTGGCAAAGCATGAAGCCACGTTACAAACAAGTTTAAATTTGATCCAAACTGACCGTCTCTGGTTCTTATGGTTTCTTCTCCATGGGGAGTGATGTACGTATTTAAGTCTTTCTTTCCCCTGCTACATCTGTTTTTAAGCTGTTGTTTACGTAGGACCTACTAAAACATTAAAAACCCATTCAAATTGACCTGGCCTCTCTTTAAAGACACGCCCTTTGAGATCTGCCCAGTTTCTCCTTCCCTGGCCCTCTTTGACCTGTGCTGTCTCGTTACAGTTCAGTTGCTGTGGGGGTGTCTCCTACAAGGACTGGTCCCAAAACATGTATTTCAACTGCACTGCTGACAACCCCAGCAGGGAGCGCTGTTCTGTGCCTTATTCTTGCTGCCTGCATGCAGCTGACCAGGTAAGACCAGCCGCACTGTTCTGCTGGGAACAGGACTTCTCCTTGCCACCCTCAAATTCTGGTGACTGCCCTGCACTCAGGGCCAAGGAAGTCTCTTAGCTGGGTAGCTGAGTAGCATTGGACGACTCCTCCATGTGCCCTCTGCCATTCTTAAAAAGGGGAATGAGGACAACCTGGGGAATTACAGACCAATCAGCTTAACTTCAGTACCCGAAAGATAATGGAGTAAATAATGAAGCAATCAATTTGCAAACATCTAGAAGATAATAAGGGGATAAGTAACAGCATGGATTTGTCAAGAACAAATCGTCTCAAACCAACCTGATAGCTTTCTTTGACAGGGTAACAAGCCTTATGGATAGGCGGGAAGCGGTACATGTGGTATATCTTGACTTTAGTAAAGCTTTTGATACTGTCTCGCATGATCTTCTCATAAACAAACTAGGGAAATACAACCTAGATGGAGCTACTATAAAGTGGGCGCAGAACTGATTGGAAAATTGTCCCCAGAGAGTAGTTATCAGTGGTTCATAGTCATGCTGGAAGGGCATAACAAGTGGGGTCCTGCAGGGATCGGTTCTGGGTCCGGTTCTGTTCAGTATCTTCATCAATGATTTAGATGATGGCATTGAGAGTACACTTGCAGAGTTTGCGGACGATACCAAGCTGGGAGGGGTTGCAAGTGCTTTGGAGAATAAGATTAAAACTCAAAATGATCTGCACAAACTGGAGAAATGGTCTGAAGTAAATAGGATGAAATTCAATAAAGGCAATCGGCTGCACACACACAAAATGGGAAATGACTGCCTAGGAAGGAGTACTGAGGAAAGGGATCTGGGGGTCATAGTGGATCACAAGCTAAATATGAGTCAACAGTGTAACGCTGGTGCAAAGAAAGCAAACCTCATTCTGGGATGTATTCGCAGAAGTATTGTAAGCAAGACACGAGAAGTACTACTTCTGCTCTACTCCGCGCTGATACCACCTCAACTGGAGCATTGTGTCCAGTTCTGGGCACCACGTTTCAGGAAAGATGTGGACAAATTGGAGAAAGTCCAGAGAAGAGCCACAAAAATGAATAAAAGTCTAAAAAACATGACCTCTAAGGGAAGATTGAAAAAATTGGGTTTGTTTAAACTGGAGAAGAGAAGCCTGAGAAACTGATGTAACAGTTTTTCAAGTATGTAAAATGTTGGTACAAGGAGGAGGGAGAAAAATTGTTCTCCTTAACTTCTGCGGCTAGGACAAGAAGCAATGGGCTTTAAATTGCAGCAAGGAAGGTTTAGGTTGGACATTAGGAAAAGCTTCCTAACTGTCAGGGTGGTTAAACACTGGAATAAATTGCCTGGGGAGGTTGTGGAATCTCCATCATTGGAGGTTTAAGAGCGGGTTAGACCAACACCTGTCAGGGATGGTCTAGTTATTACATAGTCCTGCCCTGAGTGCAGGGGACTGGACTAGATCTCTCGAGGTCCCTTCCAGTCCTACGATTCTGAGTCGTGATCCCTGTGCCGCCACCTCTTTAGTGACCTTTGCAGCTGGACAAACCCTCATGCCACTAGGGGGCGCTGGTAGCCGCGTGGCTCCTACAGCTCCAGCTGACCAGGCTGTAGCCATGGCTGGCTGTAGACCCCTCTCCATGCCACGGCCTGGCTGGGTGTGGAAGAAGCTCCCTCAGCTGAGTGACAAGACCGTGGTAGGAGGAGAGGGCTGGGGACGCTGTATAGGAATCGGTGTAGTCCCTGCTAATTCTGCTCCCTCTGGAGGCAGGGTGTCCGGGGGAGCCAGTTCAGATGGCCGGTGCTGCCCTGCCCCAATCGCGGCTGGGAATGGCTATTGTTTCTGAGCCCTAGGGAAATGGGGGATCCCATCACTGATCTTGGGTGATAAACAAGGGGCCTGATTCTGGGGTTTCCCAGGCTCTCACCAGGCACAGGCAGGCTGGGACCTGCAAGGTGCTGGCCCTGTGGTCTCCGAGTGGGTCAGGGAGACCGAGGCTGTGCGAGGGATGCATACCCTCTCCCTCCCCCCCAGCCCCAGCAGCTCCTACGAGGGGGAGACCCTCGCTGTAGATGCTGGGTGGAAAAGGAGTCCCGTGAAACTTGCATGGCTTGTCGGTAAATGCCCCCGCACATGCCGCGGGATAGGAAAGCAGCTCACGTGGGTTCCCGTACGTCATGGCACTTCTTGGCTGCCTCGTCCGTAAGGGATGGGATCCCCTCTAGTCCGCCCGTCCCACAGCCAGACAAGGTGATGCCCTGCAGCCTAATCTCCCGAAAAGTCACAAGTAACGGAGCTTCTGCCCTTTCCCTAGGAGGCAGCACTGGAGCATTCTGCGGAGCCCAGACACTCCAGCGATGGGGGAACTGGGGAGGGCTGGGGCTTGGGCTTGTGGGAGAGAGAGCGTACAGGGAAACCTGATGTTAACAGGGACGTGTTGGCTAAGGAAGTCGGGCCTGTCCCGCGTGCCATTAGGCAGTGGTTCGGGAAAGCCCGACACCCCCCCCCCCCCCCCAAATCCCACAGGCGTGAGAGGGAGCCGGAGCGACTTGCACAGCCCGTGGCGGTGTGTGAGGCGTGGCCGCACCAGGCTATCCGTCCCCTGGCGCCCTGGTTCGCTGTCACCTGCCCCGGTGCTTCCCCGCAGGCTGTCATCAACACCATGTGTGGCCAGGGGATGCAAGCCATGAACTACCTGGAGGCCAGCGAGTTCATCTACACCAACGGCTGCATCGACAAGCTGGTGAACTGGATCCACAGCAACCTCTTCCTGCTGGGGGGCATCGCGCTCGGCTTGGCCATTCCACAGGTAGCCCCCCCCTCCCCGGGGTGCGCTCTGCTGGGGCCAGAGGGTCTGGTGTTTGCACTCAAACTTTGGGGTGGGGGGGAGTTTCTGCCCCCCATTAGCTCTGGCAGAAGGGAGCATTGGACAGGCCCAACCTACTCAGCATAGCCCCCACGCCCCTGCAGGATAATGAGAGCCAGGGGTCGTCATCTGGATGAAAAGGGAATGGCCCCTTAGATCTGAAGCCAGGGTATTGGGCACTCCTAGATCTGAGGGGTGTAGCCTGTAATTTGTGCGCACGCATGAATTCACGCCCCCCCCGCATCAGTGGTGGGGCTGGGATGCTAGAAGCATTCAGACTGGGAAGGACTGTTCCCCACCCCCCCAGGTCACGTTTTGACTTTGTGCGTGTAACCGGGGGGAATCCTGAGGAAGCCTCGGATTGCATGGTGCCTTGGGCTGAGGAGCGTGGCAGAGCTGTGTGTGGGGAGCCCGGGGCTGGAACAGGCTGTGGGTCGGGATCGGCAGAGTTACTGGGCGTGGAGGGAGCCCTCGCCTGGCCCACTCACCCCTTTACTGGCTCCAGCCTGGGCCATCTCTCTCTCTCCCAAGCACCCAACATAAACGACGGATATTCTCGTCAATAGCCGTGCGTTTGTCCCTTGGCGAGAGCTTTCTAATTGGCTGAGCCGCAGGCAGGGAGCACACCGATTGGCCAGCGAGGATGCCGGCCGTCCCCGGTTGCAGCAGCGAGCTCGCCTGTGCCTGAGCCCTCCCAGGTCTGTTCAGCCTGTGGCGCTCTCCTCTCCTTGCAGCTGGTGGGAATCCTGCTCTCCCAGATCCTCATCAACCAGATCAAAGACCAGATCAAGCTGCAGCTCTACAATCAGCAGCACCGAGCAGATCCTTGGTACTGAAACCCCCCCCAGAAGAGCCAGTGCTTCCTTGCTGGGGAAGTGCCTCTCGTCCCGTGGCAGGGAACGGCGTGGGGAGGGACACGCACCCCAGGAGGAAGAAGAGACCTGCATTTTCCCCTGCTATTGCTCGCCCTGCCCTGCAGGGGACTGGACCACGGGATAGCCCCCAGGAGAGACCCCAGGGAGCCAGCGAGAGGCTGCTGCGTCTCCGGCATCATCCGTAGCATCCCCGCCCAAGGAACTGACAGCTTGGTCCCTTTTTTGGCAGCTTGCTTCTCTTTTCTTTTTTTTAAAGAGGGAAAATTTCCCAGCTGCCCCAGCCCTGTCTGGGAATTGCCTTGAGAGCTGCGTCTTCCCCTAGAAGGCTGGCGCATTGGAGCGGGGCTGGGCTGGCTGGTACGGAAGGGAGGTAAGTGGAGGGGGTTTGGCGGTATAATGCAGGTACAAGCTTCTTTCTTCCTGTGTGGTCTTGGAGCACGGGGAGGGGGGCCTAGCCAGCTTCCTCCCTCCCAGGCCTGGACCAGCTGGGAGTGACACCAGACGGGAGAATGATCAGCCCCCACCCTGCACTGATCTTTACGGATGCTCCTCTGGCTTCAGTGTATCAGGAGGGGGCTGCTAAGGGGAGAGGGCTAGAGGATGTAACTAGTTGCCAAAAACCAGACTCGGGAGGGGGGGCTGGGAATGGGATCTGGAGCCCAGCCCTCCAGGGCGCTGACTCCAGTCTGGGGACACCATCTGACTCTGAAGTGGGTCTTGGACACGGGATATGAAGCCTTTCACCGCTAGGGCCTCCAGGCCATGCCCAGGCTGACATGACAGCCCCGCCGGGGCAGACTTGCCGCATTCCCTGGCGGGCTGGCATCCCCACGGCACACAGCTGGGTCACCTCGAAGATGTTTTGGGCTCTTGAAACCTCACGAGAGGCAGAGTTTCTCCCAGCTGATCCCTGTGGCAGGCAGCAGCTCTGGGAAGCCCTTGGTCTGTGGGGTTGTAGTCTAGCCGGAGGCCCGCGTGGGTCTTGGCTCTGGACTCTCGAGTTCAGTGGATACGGCCAAAGATCGGAGGGTGCGTTGGCTATCCCAGGTCTGGCCGATGTGCCCACAGCCCCGGGTGCTTGGCTGCGGGAAGCGGCCGAAGCGGCAGATCCTCAAGCGTAGAGCAGAGACAGCGGTGGAGTAGCGTGTCCCGTTCTGGGCACGGAAGAGTCCAGTTGTCAGGGCCATTAATGTAACGGCTTCTACCAGTCTGGCTACACTGAATTCAGTTCCCCCAAGCCTCGAATTTAAGGATCTTTAAACCCTCAGAGCAGCCGCTCTCTTGCTGAGCTCTCTAAGCTGTATGTATAACAATGCTCCTGGATGGGTCCGTCGGCAGGGATTGAACCTGCGATCTCTGGCTCGAGAAACGTGGGCTGCTACTGTTTGAGCTAAAGGACCAAGTCTGTTAGCTCAGCCAGTAACACTCCTAAACCTGTGTACATGGTGTCACCACTAAGGGGGACGAAGTCGCACTGTTAGCACAGGTTACACAGTTTTGTATCCAAACGCTCTATGCCTATCCAACGTTGTTTGCGAGAGATGCCCACCCCATTATGTAAGGCGGCGATGAGGGGCCGCGTGGCAGGAAACAATCGAGGAAACAGGTGTTTGCAGTCATCAGCCTGGCGTGGGTGAACCAGGCAGGGTATGACTAAGAGAACATGAATGAAAAGCAGCACAGCGTCTCTCCCTATAGGGTTTGCTGCATCCGAGCCAGTGGCTGATCCATCTAGTTAGTTACCTGCACAGGCAGAAGATATTTGAAACTGGAGGGCTCCTTAATCTAGCAGGCAAAGGTGGAACCAGATCCAGGAGCTGGGAGTTGGCAAAGTTAAAACTGGAAATATGGTGAAAATTGTTACCAGTGCTGGTAATGGACCACTAGAATAGCTTCTCCAGGGATGGGGCGGCTTCTCCATCAGGTGGGCTTTTTGCATCAAGGCGGGGTGGCTTTCTAAAAGATGCCCCAATTCAACCACACGTTATGGGCCTGATGCAGGCATCACTTGGTGGAATTCTCCGGCCTGTGCTCTACAGGAAGTCAGACGAGATGTCCGTAACAGTCCCTTGTGGCCCTAATGCCTGTGGGTAGCTTATCTTGGCCAGGGGCTGGTGCCGGGTGGGTCAGAGGAAGGTATAACCATCCTTCCCCCTCCGCCAGTAACGCTCAGTCAGTGTGCGCCCTGCAAACACCACCAGCTGCACCAAGGTGGAAGATGAGACCACATGATCTGTGTGTTACCTCTGTGGATGGACATCTGCCCATGTGCTCTCCTGCCCCTTAGAGGCAGCATCTCCTCCTAGCATGGAGAGGCTGTAACAGTCGTCTTGGAACATGCACAGATATCTATTTTGAACACTGTACAAAGGGAGGGATCGGCAGAGACTTCTCTCTTTTGGGATGTTTGTAAGTAACACATGGGTTCTGTATTTATCTGTGAAATTAACTCCTCTGTGATGTGTTCCCTTTGCTTGTGTGGAGAATAAAATCAAAATCGGGTTCTGACTGAAGTTATAGTTTGGTTTTCTCTGTACTGCACCTGACCTGAAATAATGTGTGCCTGTGTTTGCGCACACTACTGCCCCCTGCTGGATGGAATCCTAACAGCTCAGTTGGGTCATAAGCACTATATTGCTCATGCAGATTCTCCTTCAGTTCAAGGAGTAGAGTGCTCTGTTTTGGGGGGCAGGCGCATCCGAGGTCTTCATAGTCGACAGGAGCCTGCTCCGTTACTTGGGTCAGTGCATATAACAGAACCGCTGTCTATCAAGCTCGTGGGGTGGCGCTTGTCCCAAGTGTGTGTTGCCCCCGTGTGTAGGGGCCTGGTGTAGAAGCTGCTCAGGCGCCCCCTGGTCTGACTGAACAGTACTCTGGGAAAGGGAATTGGTTGCTAGCCTGGAGCTGTGCGTGTTGGGGACTCTCTCCTTTCCTAACGCATCAGTCTGTTCTGTTTGTACAGCAGCGAATACAACAGGGGCCTGGTCGGTCACTGGGGCTCCTAGGTGCTATGGGAATGCAACTTGGTAATAGTGCTGGGGACAAGACGGCAGCTCCTGCCCTGCGGTGATGCTGAGCTGCTGCTCTCAGTGCAGGAATGGCTGGGTGAAATTCGAGGCCGGCGTGATGCGTGTCATGCTAAATCTGCGTGATGGTCCCTTTCAAGGCCATGAATCCATCCTGCCGTGCTCCTTGACCTGTGCACCTAGGTGCTGCCCCCTCCTCCCCCCTCGGCTTGAAGTGGTTTCCATTCTATTCTATGCAGGGTTTACAGGTTGGTTCAGTGGCTCTCAGCACAGATTGTTCCAGCACAGGATTGGGCCATTTACGAGGCTGTCCTGTCTACTTATAAGTGTCCCCAGCCCAGCAGACCCCTCGCTATCAGGAAACTCTTCCTTCTGGTCAGCCAAGCTCTTCCTTCTCATTGTGGCCCATTGCTGCTCGCTGCCCTGCCCTGCTGGGCCGCAGTGGGCCCTTGTCACGGAGTGTGGGGGAGTCAGGGCCCTACACCTGCCACTTCCTGCGATTCACCATGACTCTCAGCCAGCCAGTAAAACAGAAGGCTTATTAGACAACAGGAACACAGTCAAAACAGAGCTTGTAGGTACAGAAAACAGGATCCCTCAGTCAGGTCCATCTAGAGGGGTAGGGAGCCCAGACTCCGGTGCTGGGCCTCCCTCTGTTTCCCCAGACAGCTCCAAACTGAAATCCCCTCCAGCCGTCTCCCCCCCCCCCCCCCACCCCCCCCAGCTCCTCCTCCAGGCTTTGTCCAGATCCCTGGGCTCAGGTTACGTGCTCAAGTATCATCCCTCAAGTGGAGTCACACCCTGAGATCCCACCACCATCAGTATTGATGCAGACAGTAAACTAGTAAAACTCCCACGCAACATTACCAGTTTAATACTCCCTGCTCCATCGCATCTCTTTTCCCCCCTTCGAGACTGAACTGAGCGGGGTCACTCTAACCAGTGAGCTGGGGAAGTTTAGGGCCCCCTCTCTGGGCCAACGCATCAGCTATCACATTGGCACTCCCCTTCACATGGACCACCTCTATATCGTAATCCTGCAGGAGCAGGCTCCACCGCAGGAGCTTGGCATTTGCTCCTTTCATCTGGTGTAGCCAGGCCAGGGGGGAGTGGTCAGTGTACACGGTGAAGTGTCGCCCAAAGAGATATGGCTCTAGTTTCTTAAGGGCCCACACCATGGCTTGGCATTCCTTCTCGATGGCCATGTAGTTTTGCTCCCGAGGTAACTTCTTGCTCAAGTACACGATGAGATATTTCTCCTCCTTTTCATCAGCCTGCATTAACACCGCCCCCAGTCCCGTGTCTGAGGCGTCAGTGAACACCATAAAGGGCTTGTCAAAGTCTGGGGTTCCCAGAACTGGGCCACTGACCAGAGCCTCCTTCACCGCACAGAGAGCCCTCTGGCACTGCTCAGTCCAGACCACCTTGTCTGGCTTCCCCTTCTTACACAGCTCAGTGATGAGGGCGGCTATGGAGCTAAAGTGTGGCAGGCACAAATCTTTGATGATATCCTGCCATCCCAATAAAGGCTTGGACCTGCTTTTTGGTTTGGGTGATTGCCTCCACTTTGGCTAGTTCTGGCTTTAGGCAGCTGCTCCCCACCCAGTGGCCCAGGTAAGATACTTAGGCCATCCCAATCATGCACTTCTCAGCTTTTATAGTCAGTCCAGTTTCCTGGAGTCGGTCCAGCACTTGTTTAACCTGGGAAACGGTCCTCCCAGGTCTGGCTAAAGACACAGATGTCATCACTGTACGCCACGGCAAAACTCTCCATCCCCCTCAGTAGCTGATCCACCAGGTGCTGGAAGGTGGCTGGCGCTCCCTTGAGGCCGAAAGGCAGGGCCAGGAACTCAGTGCCCCAGAGGGGTGATAAAGGTGGATTTCAGCCTGGCATCTGCATCCAGCGGCACTTGCCAGTAGCCCTTTGTAAGATCCATGGTGGTAAGGTAGCGAGCTCCTCCCAGCTTGTCTAGGAGCTCGTCAGGCCTGGGCCTGGGGTAGGCATCAGACACAGTGATGGCATTGAGCTTCCGATAGTCCACACAGAACCGGATCGACTCGTCCTTTCTGGGGACCAGCACCACCGGCGAGGCCCAAGGACTGGAAGATGGCTGGATCACCCCCAAAGCCAGCATGTCATTGACCTCTCTTTCCAGGTCCTGAGCAGTTTTCCCTGTGACTCAGAAGGGGGAGCATCTTGTAGGCGGGTGCGATCCTGTCTGCACCCGGTGGACAGTCAGATTAGTGAGTGGAAAACAGTTGTGGGTACAGATGCAGCACCCCTCTGATCTCCACTTGCTGAGCAGGGGTTAGCTGAGAAGAGAGGGGAATTGTTTCCAGGGGGGAGCCAGCTCCTGTCTCAGGGAATAGATCTACTAAAGGGTCATCTCCCTGCTCCTCCCAATGCCCACACACGGCCAACGCCACATTCCCCCTGTCATAATATGGCTTCATCATATTCACATGGTACACCCGGTGGTGGTGGTGCGCCCGGTTCGACAGCTCCACCACATAGTTTACCTCATTTAGTTGCTTGACAGCCTTGAAAGGGCCTTCCCAGGCGGCCTGGAGTTTTCTTCTCTGAGGGATGAGAACCATCACCCGGTGGCATAGGCGCGGGCCCGCGCCATGCGGTCATACCAGACCTTCTGTTTCCTCTGGGCTCTGGCCAGATTCTGCTTGGCCAGGCCCATGAGCTCAGCAAGTCTTTCTCGGAAGGTCAAGACATATTCCACCACTGACTCTCCATCGGGAGTGGCCTTCCCCTCCCATTCATCTCTCATCAGGTCCAGGGGCCCCCTTGTCCTTCTTCCATATAACAGTTCAAAAGGTGAAAACCCGGTAGACTCCTGGGGCACTTCCCTGTACGCGAACAGCAGGTGAGGTAAGTACCAGGTTAATACTCCTTACTCCGTCACAGCCCTCTCCTCCCTTACTGGTTACATGACGGCAACGTGAGATCACAGAAGTACAACTCTCTCTTCCCACACGGCCCTTCTCCCGCCCCATCCTCTGTGAAAGGGGGATAAGAAGGGGCCCCGGGTCTTGAGCTGAGATTGCTCCTTGGCATCCCAACAAACTGGGCCCTGGGCTGTTTGGAAAAGGGCCAGCAGCTGCCTGGGCTCCATCTCAGCTGCTTCCGACCCCCCCCCCACCCGCACCCCTTGCGAGTCCTGGAGCTGGCCCCAGGCCCCCTCCCTGGAAACAGGCCCCTTGGTGCCTTCCCGGCTCTGACGGCTCCAGCCCTGCTGCAGCTTTTCAGCAGGCCGCGCTCGCTGTGAATGTGGGTGGGTTTTTCTTCTGCTGGCTCCATTCAGCTTGCTGGGAAAGGCAGGGAGGGCTCAGCCCTGGCTGGAGCTGCCAGCATTGGGCTCGGTGTGTGGTCCCCCTGCGTGTCTCCTCTTCCCCCTCCCCAGCTCCTTGGCCAGGTTTCAGCTCCACGGGCTGGGAGAGACTGAGTCAGGGAATCTGCGCTGGTGTCTCCAGGGGGCGAGGGAGACTTAAACTAGTGTAAAAGAGCAGAGTCGGTCCGGCCCGGCCCTACGGCTGGAGGGCCCAGCTGCGAGCAGATTTTCTTGCTGGAGAAAGCTAGATCGTCTCTGTGCAAACGACTCTGGGCTGTGCTTCCCAGGCCACCCCCAAACGCACGGTGTGTGAGTACGGCAAGGAAAGGCCGAGTCGCACTGCACACACCTATCCTGGGGTGCTAATGCAGGGGCCTCTGTTCAGGGCTGGAATGAAGAAACAGAGCCGTGCTTCTCAACGCCCTTTGGAGCCGACAAATTGTCCTGCAATCCTCCATATTCCCACAATCCTTTGCAGCAGGGATTTGCATCCTGGCCGTCTCTTTTCTGCCACTTTGGGGTGTAGGCTTTGTTCCCGGTGAGTATCCCCCCAGCATCACAGCTGAGTCCTGTCCCACCAGATGAGCGGCCCGCGGGTAGAGAATACGGCAGCCTGCATTTCAGACTCCTGCTGGGGTGAGACTTGGCTCAGAAGCCAAGACAGTAGAACGGGGCTGGTTAAAGGACTGTCCTCAGTCAGGGCTGAGCCCTAGAGGGAGCAGCTCTGGCCGATAGCACTGGGCAATCTCCTATAAGGAGGAAAACTTCCTTCAATGGATGTTCTTGTGTTCCCTCAGGGGAGCAGCTGTCTGTCTGTCTCCCCGCATCATCGCCCTTGTCCCTCCAACCTAGCCGGACAGGCGTGGGACTTCCTTCAGAGTCCGCTCCTGAATGGCTGGAGCCAGGGCTGTCATGTGAGGTAAGGGAGGCCGAGTTTAGTGTTACAAGGGGGGTAGCTCCTGACCAGACATGGGAGGCAGCAATACCCACCCGTGAGGCCTGCACCTAGGGTGACCAGACAGCAAGTGTGAAAAATCGGGACAGGGGGTGGGGGGTAATAGGAGCCTCTATAAGAAAAAGACCCAAAAATCAGGACATCTGGCCACCCTACCTGCACATCTCTCATTTGTTAATGTCTC